AAGAAGGGATGGAAATAGGGAAATGTGCCCTATTTCTCCCTTGTGGAATGGAAATATTTACTCTGTGCCATGACATATTGGATATATGTGGCTTGTTTTTGATCATTTTGGTATCTTGAGTCTCAGATGAGGTTTTGGACATGGACTTTTGGCAGTACTGAAACAGTTAAGACCATGGGGACTCTTGGAAATGAACTATATTTATTTTGCATTGTGAGATGGGCATGAGCTTTTGGGGATCAGGTGCAGAACATTATGGTTTAGATAAGAGATGTCCCCCCAATAACTCCTGTGTAAGACAATGCAAGTATGTCCAGAGGTGAGGACTGGGGTTGTGGCTCAGCGGTAAAGCACTCACCTAGCACGTGCGAAGCCCTGGGTTTCAATTCTCAGCACCCCATAAAAATAAATAAATGAAATAAAGGTATTGTGTCCAACTACAACTAAAAAATAAATATTTGAAACAACAACAAAAAAAAATTGCCCAGAGGTGAAACGAGTAGGATATGAGAGCTCTAACATAATCAGTGGATTAATCCAGTGATGTAGACTAACTGGACAATACTGTAGGAAGGTAAGGTGTGGCTAGAGGAAGCAGGTCGCTGGGGGTGTGTCTTTGGGTTTGTGCTTTGTCCCCAGTGAGGTGAGCAGTTTTCTTTCTCTGCTTCATGACTGGAATGACCTGAGCTGCTCTCCTCTGCGGGTCTTCCACCGTGATGCTCTGTCTCATCTTGGCCCAGAGCTATGGAGTCAGCCAATTATGGACTAAACCTCTGGAAACTTGAGCCCGAATCAACCATTCCTCCTCTAAAAAAATAAATAAATCATGACAAACAAACAAATAATTAACTAATTAAAAGGGCTGGGAATGTCTGTAGACATTCAGTAAAGTGCCCCTGAGTTTAATCCCTAGGACCACACAAATAAATAAATAAAAGTTAAAACTTTTTTTCTTTCTTTTTTTTTTTTTTTTTTCTTTGCTGGGGATGAAACTCACGGCCTTGCACATGTTAGGCAAGTGCTGTCCCCAGCCCAAAATAAAAAAATAAAAATAAAAAAACTTTTTTAAAAATGTCAAGATATATGGGTTAAAATACACAGACAAAATTTTATGTAAATTTTTTCATGGTTAATCTTATCAAATCGTGTCATGAAACATTTTTTCCAGTTACGGCCGATCTTCCTGTGATTCCTTTTTATGGAGTGTTTAATATGGTCTACATATTAAACATATTTAATATGGTCTATAACATATACAGTAAGCCCTCTGTATCCACAGGCTTAACCAACTACAGATTGAAAATATTTGGAAAAAAGGCTTTGCATCTATTCTGAACACACTAGACAATTTGCCTTGCCATGGCTCTCTAAAAAATATCATGTAACAGTTATGTGCATATCATTTGCATTGTAGTAGGTATTGCAAGTAATCTAGAGATGATTTAAACTACAAACATGACACCACTCTACATAAAGAACTTGAGCATCCACAGAGATCCATACCTCAGGAGCTGGGTGTCTTAGAATCTGTCCCCCACAGACTCAAGGACTGACCACCATACTTATTTAACTCTGTGCTGAAAGACAAGTGGTATCTAGCTTTTCAAATGAAAGTCAAATTGCATGCAGTCCACTAGAAGGCAGGTCAAATACTGGATATAGCATGACTCTGACAGTAGCAGGGAAGGTCAGCATCCAAAGAGCAGCAGGGTGCTCCAGAGGAGCTCAGTGGGCCAGAAAGCCAAGCCAGTCCCCTATTCATGGAAAGGCAGGAGCCAGACTCCAGGTTGGGGTTGTGGTGCAGGATGCTGGTTCCTGAGTGCAGTGGCGAGGTAATCCAGTTTCCCAGAAGGGTCCTGGGTCCCAGGGGTCAGGCAGGATCAAGGGCAATTTAGATATAAGGTCTGAGGTGAGGGTTTCACTAGCAAAGAGGGTGATCTGATGGTGAGCTGGGTTTCCTAAACTTGAAAGAAACCTGTCCTATTGGATTCATTTTAAGAACTTCTGCAGGAGACACCAGAGCTGGCTGAATATGCAGCTGTGTGCCAGAGGAGCAAAGACTCTGAGAACCAGGCAGGAGCAAGCATGAAGTTGTGCTCCTTACAGCCCGAGGAGCCCTTACAGGTGGAAAGATACTCCCATAGTTTAAAGAAGCAAAAACTAAGGTTCATGTTGCCTGAGGCCATACAGCACTGATTTCAATTCCCAGACACTTGGTCTCTTTCCATCAGAACAAGTTCCTTCAGTCCCAGCACCTCCCACCACCCACAGCCTCATCTCATTCCTGCCCTATACGTTTAGGCCCCAGCCTGTACCCCAAGTGCATGATTAACTCATGGTCACAGAACTGCCCTTGCCCTGGGAGGTTCAGGTCAGAGTGCTTCAGCCTCGAAGCACTGTGTCTCCTCAGACAATCTGAAGAAGCTCAGTCAACTGCTCTCTGGATTTTACAGACCCCACAGAGAAGGCAGGGAGAGACCCCAGCCTCAATCTCTAGCACCTCGCAGGTGCAAGGGCCCACACGGAATGTTCAGGCCTGGTTCCTTCTCATTACACAACTTAGTTTCCTACTCTCTAGGGGCTTTCCTGCTCCCTGAAAGCAATTTACAGAACTCTCCTACCAAATCCTTAATCAAGCACAACATCTGATTTGCAGGAGAGGGTCACCCTGTGGCTCTATCACTCACTGGCTGTAGGACTCTGGACAATTCTGGTGTCCTCTGAACAGTGCTTCTCAAAGTGGGGCCCCAGGAGCAGCAGCACCTGGGAAGTTGTTAGAAATGCAGATTCTCCAGACCAAATCAGTGAGCATTTGGGGAGTGGGGCCCTGCAACCTGAGTCCTCAAGCCCTCCAGGTGAGTCAGCTGTAAAGCAAACTCCTCGAGTACTTTGTTCCTAGATCAAAGGTTGTTCTGAAGACTGAATGAGATAGTGCTTATCCCTAGGAGCAGGCAAAGCCATTGAGTGGGGGTGGCTGTGACTGTTACCTCACCCGAAAGTCACTGTTCCATCTCTGCCTCATCCTTATTCACAGCCCACACGCTGTTTCACAAGAGTGGGGGACTCTTCTGGCACTTGCCCTCCTTTCCTTCGTCCCTCCAGCTGGGCTGAGTCTCAGGCTCCACGGCCTCCACTCTAGCTGACCCTGAGTCTCTCCTCTGCCCAAGGCCAGCATTCTCTCTTTCAACCTGGAGTTTCCACTGTTGAGGGAGGTAACTTCTGCCCATGGGTCTCTCAGCAGCCCCTCCTAGGCCCGGTCATGCTCACCAGCTACTCAGACCCAGAGTGCCCAGAACCTGTGCACAGAACTCCCTTTGTCTTGGACCCTCTCCCCTTCTCCAGTGCCCCCAACAGGACCCTACTCCCTATTATCTCCCCCTCCTTCATCCTTTACCACAAAGTCATGGAACGAACCTTCTAGAATCTGGACACATCACTGGGAAAAGGGTTAGGGTCTGGGTTTCCTGGAACCAGAATCTAGCCCCAGGCATCGCTCCACAAATAGTATTCATGCGGGAGAAATAATAATAAAGAATCACCAAGGGGGCTCAGATCAGAAAGAGTATCTTTCCCCCTCCAGGTTTCTCCATGCTTCAGGGACTCAGTTCCTATCTTGTAGCCCCAGGATGAGACTCTCCTGCACCTGCAAGTGTGGCAACCAGCCCCCAGTGATTCACCCAGGGAAGGGCTACTAGAGGGCAGGGTTTTCCAACTGTTCCCCTGGTCATGTTCTCCCTGGGATACTGGTTTAAACTAGAAATTCTCCCAATGGTCTGACTTAATGAGCTTCGTTTGGAACCCAGAAATCTGAGCATTTAAAACAATCTCCCTGGTGTGATGCTTAGGACAAGATAAATTTAGAATGAGGGGGAATCAAAGATGACAATCTGAAAACAACCCACTGTACCCCTGGTGTGGTGCTTGAGGAAGGGGGGGGTGCTAATCTTCTGACTGTTTTGTTGAATGGAATGTTGAGGCAACTGGGTGCAGAGATCACCCCCCCCCCCAAATCCAATTCTTTAAAAAAAAGAAAAAAAAAAATACCGACAATTGACAGTTATTTTCTTGTTGCCCATACTCAGTGCTTGAGATCAAGGAAAGATTGCTTAAACCAATATTAAGTGGAGATAAAGGGGCCAAAGTGTGGGATTAAAAGGACGAGCCCAAGCTGTTAGTAGACACAGGTGAGTGACCACCTGTCCAGGCCGGATCTGACTGCTCTCCGGCCGGTCTGCAGCTACGGATTTGGGGGTGGTGGGGACAGTTGAAGCTCGCTCTTCTTCAAAATTGCCAAAGCCACCAAAATCAGCCATGCTCCCCTCCAGCCAGCTGAGCCTGCCCATCCTGGTTGGGTGGACAACGGTGCAATTGACCGGCATGAGCTGCCTCTCGCCCACCCAGATGACGGCCAATTTTTTTTTTTAAGCCATCAAATTCAATATTTACAAAAGAACAATTCCATGCTTGGTTCTAAAACTACTGACCACCCAAGGATCAGTTTACTTCTCGCTTCAGCCCATGACAAGAAAAATGTAGGCTTGCGCTTTCCTCTTAAAAACAGAATAATAAATAGAGCAATTTTTTTAAAAAATTAAAAAGCAAAACCGTTTATTGCACGCGGCGCCTTTCCCTCTGGTCCTTGAACAGAATAAAAAAGCCCATTTTGCCAGGGCTGGGTCCCCGCAGCTGCGGCCCTGTAACTTTAAACCTGGCCTGAGATCATCGTTTTGGCGCTAGCCAAACAGAGCCCGAGGGCGGTCCCAGTGCGCCCGGCCGGGACCACCTGACGCCCACCCGCTCCCCGCCCTCGTCGGGAAAGATAAACGCTGACTCGGCTCCCAAGTTGCCAGCTGCGAAGTTTGCGCCCGGTGCTGCCGCGGCCCGGGAACTTGGCCACCCCAGGCTCGCGCTCCTCCAGGCTGGGCCCAGGCTGCTCGCCTCTCCATCTGCCCAGCACGGACACCTCAGGCGGCCACAGAGAGGACGAGTCTGCGGGGAAGATGTGGAAGGCTCCCGTGCTGCTCTTGGTTTTGGGGAGCGCGTGGCTCTGGGTCCCGGCGCAGGGAGGTAAGCGCCAGCGATCGTGGCCGCCAGCAGTTGCTGGTGGGGGACCCGCGAGCGGAGACTTGCTGCAATGCTGGGCCCGGGGTCTGAGGTCGCCCGGGGGAGTGCGGGGGTGCGCTTGCACGCGAGCCGGCCCCGCATCCCGGAGGAGGAGAGGAGCCCACGAGCGGCTTAGCTGGGGACACCAAAGAAACAGCGGAGTGGGTGTGGCAGGAGGCGCCCTGGAATCCACAGGCGGCCAGAGTGGGGACAGAAGGGGCCGCCCAGAGGGTCAGCTCACAAGAGATAAGCTCACAGAAGATGGCAGCCAGGGGCTTCTGCCTAGGTTAGAGCCCCTGGGCTTTCCCCAGGATCCCAATCAGGAGGGCTGGTCCTGGGAGAGCGTCCCCGCTGAGGTGGCCTAGGTCTCCCCTGTGTGCCCCACCTTCTTGGGGACAGACTGGAAGAGGCCTCACCTCTTAAGGGAAGGTACTGTGTGTTGGGTGCGGTGGGGGGGGGGGGGTGTTGAGCAGAGTGGTGAATGGAAGACGGTTGTTCTGCTTTCTCTTTCTTCAGTGCTGGGACCCAGTCCAGGGCCTGGAGCAAGCTAAGCAAGTGCTCTGCCTCTGAGCTACACCCCAGCCCTGGAGCACTGTTACAAACCTTGAGGTTTAAGTGGGTTTGGGGCCATATATTGAACGGGCCCAAAATGTCAATGACAGAATTCCCGTCTGTGACTCCTTGGACTTTAAGTGGACTCAGTCTGATGGCCAGGCCACCATCCACACGTTCCCCTCCCCTGTGTCCTCTTCTTGCCCCTCCTTATCTCTTGCCCCCTTCTTCCTAGTGTGCTGTGTGCTGATCTCCATGAACACCTTTCAGTATTTTACTCCTTTTCTGGGATTTTTATCTGTGTCTGTTTCCCTGATGTAAGCTCCAGAGGACTCCGATGCATCTAGGTTTGCTCCCCAGGGTCAGGACAATGTCTGATAATAATAGTTGCTCACCAAATATTGGCTGAAGGAATTGTAAGCAAGCTATTGATCTTTGAGGCTGGAGGTTGCTGAAGGTTTTCCATATTGAAGATCTAGGTAGGCCTAGCCCCAGGAGAGTCTTTCTTGGAGAGGGTGTGGTCTCCAGGGTGCCCAGCCTGCATTTCTATAATTTCAGGGCAGACAAGAACCCCTAGACTTAGGGAAATTATACAGAGTGCTCTTGTGCCAGGGTGTCTGCTTCAAAGAGACTGAACCACTCTGTTTACAGGGGCCATGAGCTATTCATGGTTGTCCTATCTTTGGAACTTCTCTTTCCACTGGAATATATACAGTTCTTTATTTCGTTTCCGTTTTGGCCAGACAATGTGCACATGACAACATTTTGTACTCAGCAGGTGAGGGAGGAACCTACCTGAGCCACACATCCTAGCATCCCAGGAAACACAGGCCTAGGCTTCCTGGTCCTTTGTTTCCCCCAGGGCTAGGGTTAGTTGTAATCATGTCCAGCCAGTTCCTAAACATCAAAAGTACTCCTAGAAGGAGGTGTGCAATCTTTGAAAAAATAGCTAGAAAGTCCACTGATAAAGAATCAAGGCCAGCCCGGGGCTGGGATGCGGGGGGGGGGGGGGGGGGGGGGGCGGGCTGGGATGCGATGGAGTCCGCTGTGGAGCACTTGCCTAATGTGTGGGGGGCCCTGGGTTCCATCCCCAGGACTGGAGAAAAAAAGAAAGAAAGAAGCCCCATTGGGGTGGGCAGCCTGGGGAGGGGCGGGGGTGGCTGTGTGTGGAAGCTGCACTGGGCAGGAGCTGAGGCCCAGCAGGGTTTTTGTCTGGGAATAATGAGTGAGGCGACTTGAATATGGATGACTAACTTCATTGAGCTGAGCTATTGTTGGGGAGCTGGGCTGGGGGCAATTATGGTGATGAATGTTATTATCCTTCTCTTAGGGTACTGGGCCCTACTGGGTTTCTCCCATCTAGTGCTATAATCTGGTTCAGTTTTATAATCTGGTCCCATGTGTCATCTCTTGGGGCGTTTGTGGATTCAAAAGAAGACGGTTGTCCACACATCTGGCGTTTTCCTCAATTGTCCGGCCCCACCCTCACTCTGAACTTTGGTCCAAAACACGCACTTTGGGGCCTGTCCGTTAGACAGTTTGTTTTGTGAAATTCTGCAAGCCGTTGCTTGCTGCCAACCCATGTGCGCTTTTTCCGGGACCAACTCACCCAGGATTAATCATGCAGCGAATGGATTTCCCTGTGATTTCCCCGAACTTCTTGCCAGTTTTGGAGGCCCTGAAATCTTTGTGAGCTGCTAAGGATTTGTTGCACTTGAGGTATTTAATAAAGGTCGGGTCTCTTTGAGACTTCGGGAGGAAGTCCTGTACATAACAGGGGAGTACAGGACTCTAATAGCATCTAATATAGAAAAGCACATGTTTAAAAAATGTGTCCAGACAGGAGAAGGCTAAGTACAGACATGGCCAAGAGGACTAACTCCTTCTCTCCACCGCTGTGAATGAGCAGCCTGAGAGTGACTGTCCTAGGGAATTATAAAGACCTCCAACCTTAAGGGAGGATGGCTGGATCAGCAGGAAGGGTATGGCCTGCCCTGCATTTCTATCCCCCCCCCGCCCCCGTCATGTGCTAGGAATGTCACCAACTACCTCATTTAATCCGTACATCTCCTGTAAACTGTACATTACCTCAGAATATGCCAGAATTGGGGATTCAGAAATGGGTCTGATGCCAAACCTCAAACTCTTTTTACAACACTACTCTGCTATTACAAAAAAAAAAAAAAAAAAGTTGAACTTGAAACTAAAAATGAGCCTCACCTTAAGCCTCTTAAACATGAAAGCAAAAATTCTCTAAGGATATCATAACTGTACGTTACATACCATGCTATCCCTTTATGAGTGGAATTCTTGAATTCATTCTGCACAGGGGTACATTGCTGGGTGCAGGATTTGAACTCTGCTGCTTTGGGGAGGAGACACTAGCCCAGAGCGTGCTTTGCAGTCTTCACGAAATCACAGACCTGCGCTCTGAATTCCACTGGCTTATCTGAATATTTGTCATATTTCTGGCTTTGGAGAGCCAGGCAGCCAGGTTACAACTTGTGAAAGTATTGCAGGGGAGTGCCGGGAGGGAGCGGGAACTCAAGGACACTGTGCTGCTCTTGTGAAGCTCACTTAGTGAGTCTGACAGAGGCCCCTTCCTCTCCACGGAAGCCTTGCCATTCCTGCTACCCCGGAGCCTCTCAAGGCAACCGACAGCATGAGCCTTTACTTGGAAGAGCATCAGATGGTTAGGGGTGCCGGGGTCCTTCTAAAGCCAAGTGTACGGTTACTGAGATTTGTCAGGATTCTGCTGGGTAGGCAGGAGATAAAGCTCCCCTTGACTGGAGTTTCAAACCCTTTCTCTATTGATGTCTTTTTTTTTTTTTTTTTTTGATGCTGAGAATGGAACCCAGGGCCTCATGCTTGCTAGGCCAGAGATCTACCACTGAGCTACATCTGCAACCCTTCTACTGATTTTTTTTTTTTTTTTTTATGGTACTGGGGATTGAACTCAGAGGCACTCAACCACTGAGCCACATCCCCAGCCCTATTTTGTATGTTATTTAGAGACAGGGTCTCACTGAGTTGCTTGGAGCCTCGCTGTTGTTGAGGCTGGCTTTGAACTCCCGATCCTCCTGCCTCAGCCTCCAGAGCCTCTGGGATGCCAGGTGTGCTCCACCGGCCCAGCACTTCAACTGATTTCTTGAAGCTTTCCGAGAAAGGAAAGTGACTAGCATTTTATCCAGAGGCTATGAGATAGGTGAGGGAACAGCTGCAGTCCTGCCAGGTTCATCCAAGGCAGGAGATGGAAGTGGCTGCTTCCTCCCCACGTGCCTGAGCCCAGCACCCGTCACCCAGCCTGTTCACGGCCAGCCAAGGGATGGTGAGCTTTCCTGAGCTTTGGCAACAAGAGGACAAGGGTTTGTCCTCATCTTCTTTGGCCGAGTGTCTTGCCTCAAGAATGACTCCAAGGAGATGGGTGTGTCCTTGGAGGTGAATCAAGCCATGTCCACTGGGAGGCGTGCAGCCTTGGCCAGCTGGTTTGCTTTGTTGTTTGAGAAGCAGAAAATTGAAATTGTTAAGGAGATGAACAATCGAATGCAGTTTTTCTGTTGTTACTGGTTGTCGTTGTTGTTGTTGGTGGTGGTGGTGGTGTGAGTACTCTACCACCAAGCTACACCCCCAGCCTTTTAATACAGCTTTAAAATGAAACAAAACAAAAACCTATGAAAACAATAATCACCTTTCCAAAGGAATATGTGCTCTCAACCTCTGCCTGGGGAGGCAGACCTGCAAGACGCCCCAGATAGTAGACAGAGGCCAACCCTGAGCCACCCGGGGCCCCCAAGTCACCATTGTTAAGTTTGAGGCGCTCAGGGGAATGCCAATGACCTGGACGGCAGCGGGTGGCAGGGACAGGAGGCAGGAAGAGCTGTAAACATCACCGAGGAGAACAGGGTGTTTCCCACAGTTCATCACCAGGCCTCCACCCGGGAGAATAAAACACAGCCACTATCAGAAAAGCTGTGATCCAATGAATAGCGTCTCACCCAAAGGACAAGGGTTCCCAGTTTGTCTAGAGTCTAGAAAGGCAAGGGAAAGAAACCAGATTTATGGACGTTAAACCAGCTCCACCCAAGGAATTCGTTTATTTAACAAATGTTTGTGGAGAGCTGCTGGTGGGGGGGGGGGTCACTGTTACGCCCACTTCCAGCTGGTCTGAAAGATGTCCTATCTGCCGGCCATGAGGATTCCCACCTCAGTCAAGGTGATTCGCTGAGAATCCGGAATCTCTTCCCTCGGTCTGGACATGTGTTCCACCCCACAGCCCTGCCCTTTGCTTCTGGTCTCTACAGGTGACCAAACAGCAACTTGGGTTCTCTTTTTCTCTTTTTGTTCCTGAGCACAGTGTGCCTTGGGTAGCCAATATGTGCCTGAACGCTAGGAAACTATTCCCCATTCTGTTT